CAAAGGGAAGGAGAAGTGCTGATGAAAGAGCCTGTCCAGCTCCAGCCCCTGATACTGATGTCCCCAAGGCCTTCTGGAGCCTTTCTAACAATGTGAAGTATATTGCAAAGCAGCTCACCCAGTGAGAAGACTTTTGGCATAATGTGCCGATTTGTACAGATCCTGGAGATAGAAGGACTTCAGACCAACCAGGGAGTTATCTGATCAGCTTGGTGTTCAATGTAACTCTTTACCATGGCTCAGACTTTGTTACTTGCAGTTACAGTTTCTCATTTTAGATGGTGCAAATTTTGCATTTGTTTTTACATGTTCTTTGTTCATGCTCTTTATCATTTTTCTGAGTTGGAAAGTTAGATTGCATCATAGTTTACTTTATACATATTTGTATTCTTCAGTGGTGAAGTATATTGCAAAGCAGCTCAGCCATGTGAGAAGACTTTTGGCACTTTTTCGTTTTTGGTTTTCTGAGTTGGAAAGTTAGATTGCATTCAAAATGTACAGAAATACTTAATTTTGTTAAAGCTTTTTATAAAAAATGCTTCTGACCAGAGCTTTGTTTCCTTGTCATTAATGTTGAACACCACCAGAGGGGCTCTCACCTGAAAGGTCTCTGCTTCATGTGTCTTCAGCAGAAGATCTAGACTTTGATTGCTATATTTTCAGTTAATATTGACCTTACTGAGCTTTAGCCATATCCGCTGCCTATCATAAAAAATGTTAAGTACAGTGAACCTTTCTAAAATATACAGTAGTAAAGAGACAAACCCACCAGCATTATAGTAGCCAAATTCTTGTTTGTGGGCTGTATATATAAAATTGACTTGAAAAAGTTGCTGATTTTAGAGTACTGGCACCTTTTTCATTCCAATTCAAGCACTGATCTTCACCAAAAAGCAGGCAAGGAAAGCAAAAGAGGGAATTCTTCTGGATGCTCGCCGTTAGCCATTTCTTTTTAGCAAACCACTCAGCGTTAAACCCACGTTTAACTTTGCCCGCAGTCTGGACCATTTGGAAATCCGGTGGATGGTGGGCTAAGTGTCTCAAATGTGTGCTCCAGTAAATGGTCAACTTCATTCATTTTCTTTCAGTTTTTTACTTCTTTTAATCGCTGGTGATGTTAGCTATATGCTGCTCTCTCGTCTCCTCTTCAAACTACACGTGACGTTTCGCAGCACTGCACACGTGAGTACTTACAGCCAATCAATTCTGAATTATGTGAGATGACGTATGGTGGGGATGGGAGCACTCTGCCCCTACGGTCATTATTTTTTTGCCACACACATTCAATAGAAAAATACTCTGAGCATGCGCAGTGTAGTTTTTACAATCACCGTTCACTTAGACTGTGAGAGGGAAGGGCAGGATCGGGTTTTGTCCCACATGGCTCTAAACAGCTCAAAACGGCACTCTAGACACTAATTAGAAGAACACAGACTAAAACAGAAATGTACAGACGAATCAGATTATTAAACATGACCTTAAAATATATTTTATATGTTTTTTTATTTATTTGTTAGTATTTTTTTGTAATAATTATTTGTAATACTTTCTTCTGACACTAGGTGGGGCTGTGCCCCACCTGCCCCTAATGACCCGCCGCCACTGTACCTAGAGCAGGTGGCTTTCACTTAAAGGTGTCCTATCATGCAAAATGCACTTCTTGATGTCTTTTAACCATAGATATGTGTCCCATGTGTCGGGGAACTCACAAAGTGTCAGAAAACAAAACCCTCTCTCTTTTCCTCCGTACCCAAATAACAAAAAACGGGGCTACAACGGAGTTGATCCAGATTTGCGGAGATTTGACGTCATATCGGCAATGTGGACCCACAGCACTATCAGAAACGTTGCTATCAGAAACAATGCACGATGTATTTTGGACGTAATATGGTCTTTATTTACATTAGCAAGCCTCGCTAACACTGAGAGCTAACCTGTACTGGAGAGAGCATGTGTCAAAAAGCAGGAAATACAAAAAGGAACTCACCTTGTAGTAAACCTGCAAGAAAATAAGCATTTGAGCTCCATACTGTTTCAGAAATCATCCTTGAAGTGGTTTGGAACATGATATGGCATTTAATCACAGGAGCATTTAGCTTTATCTGAGCAGAGCAGACAGCCTGCTCGTCACAGACCTCACTGCTTGCCTGGTTATCAAAAGGGGGCGGGGCCAGCAGCTACTGACCGAGGATCAGCCATTCCCTAACAGTGTTTCTCAAACTTTTTCATACCAAGGACCACTTAACCAATACAAAAAAACACTCGCGGACCACCTAACTCCACAAATATCCAAAATCACATCGTTTTTCTAGAACAGATTACAAATCGCCTGAAAATGGTACAAACAAGTGGCAACATGTGTGATGAAGGTGTTGCGCTGGGCTATATCATGCAATCAAAAGTGAAACTTAACATCGCTCCATTGCGGAGATATTCCCGCGAGAGTGCGGAAAACTTAAATGTATTTATTTCTTTCAAATGTGAAATGTTACCAATATACTCACGGACCACTAGGGGGCGCTCACGGACCACCAGTGGTCCGCGGACCACACTGAGAAGCACTGCTCTAACAGGGCTGCAACAGAGCAGAGGGATATCGTATTTTGAGCAAAACACATCATAGACATATTTTTTAAATATTTGTATATATCTGAGACCCATAATATATGCCTAAAAATAGCATGATAGGAGATCTTTAAACAGACCTGGAAGTAAAGAAATCTACTGCTGTGAAAAACTGACTGTTTTTGTCAATCAATCTGGTGGCTTTGCAGATTGACTGAAAAACGGCTGTCTGACCGCAAGTTAAAGCGTTGAAGTACTCAAAAAGTATATATTACTCAAACTTAAATCCATTTGTATTCTGGTTTGCTGCTGCCCCTGTTGAAAGCAGTATATTGCTTTTTTTTGTACTGTTACTCCTGTCTGTTCGTCCAAACTGGAGACTTTTACTCTGCTACTGTAGGTAACACTGACTATGGATATGTTTCTCATACAACCCCACTTCAAAATGTCTGTTTTTAAATGTAACGAATGTAGAGGAAGGAATTGATGATGGCAGAGGGAGAGATAATGCTTAGTGAAAGTAGGGCGGGATTTATCCAATGTTTTCTTTTGTTTTTTTGTTCCCACAGACAAAGGTCTGAAGTGTCCTGTGTGTTTGCTGGAGTTCGAGGAGGAGGAGTCCGTTCGGGAGATGCCTTGTAAACACCTTTTCCACTCGGGATGTATACTGCCGTGGTTGGGAAAGGTAGAGCTTCACATTTTCTAATTCAAAGATAAATTCTTGATTGTAAATGGAAACGTTTGAGTGGCTACGTAGAAATCCTTTTGAATCTTTTTCATGTTTGCAACCACAGACTAACTCCTGTCCGCTCTGCCGGCTTGAATTACCGACTGATAATCCAGAGTATGAGGAGTTTAAAAAAGACAAGGTGAGTGTGTGAATATTATTTTTCATGGTACATCCTCATCTTTTAGCTGTGCCTCTCCATGTGGCATCAGTCCGTGTGTTTGTGTCCTGCAGGAGAGGAGAAGGCAGAGGGAGCACCGGCTGGAGGACCTCCATGGCTCCATGTACACATGACGAGACTCCGCTGTGGTGCAAGTCTGTGGCACAGTGACATTTTACTGAAAGAATTGAATACAGAATGTGATTTCAAGCATGAGTGGGGAATAAACCCTTCTTTACCTTTTATATTTGTAGTCAGATATATACATTTAATCTCAAATATCTCCCATCAACAAAACTGCACACTTTAAAGCCACCACACCTGGCACCGCTATCTAAATACAATACAATATTACAAATATGTATCAACATCATTTGGTGTTAACACAGGGCTAGCCATTTGTGTGACCTTCCTGAAATAATTTGAAAGTTTGGATAAATGCTTCTTAGTTAGACTGATTATATTTTAAGATGAGTAAGCTTTTGAGTCATTTCTGTTCAGATGCTTTATGCCTTTTAAATCTTTGAGCTTTAAATGCACAGCTGTATTTGTCTGATTAATAGGAATTATTTAAAGACCCAAATATATTTTAATCAGCTACTCAGAGATTTTATTTTACAATGCACTTCAGCAATGCAGTATAAAAAGTGTACACTTCCACACATCACATGTGCTCTTTGAAGACAGATCACAGGTAGGAATGTGTAAATGGAAGCAGAAGAGGCTGAGATATCCTGACCTTAAATCCCTGTGAGGGTTGAACTCCAAAGATACTGGATCCTACTTTTATCATCATGCATTTTATATTAAACCATTCCATTTCCTTAGTGAAAATCTGTTGAACCAGAATATATTTATGTCATTTTTAACGAGCAGTAAGTGTTTATGCAAGCCATCCTTTCAGTTTTCTGCTCCACAGGTTGTTTCTGTTTTTTACAAATGTCCCTGTTAGCAGGTGTTACTGAAACGATTCCACAAGTACTGTATGATGTCATGTTTAAAACACCAACTTACCGTGTCATTTGTTGTTTATAAAAATACAACAAATGCCTGTGTTTGAAGAACAACCCATGCAAAACATCTAACAATTTGTAATTGTTATTTCATATTTGAATATAAATCTGTCAAATGAAAATACCTTTAAAGACAAATCATACATATTTACAGAATTTATAAAAAGGAAACAAAATAATCTGTTGAATTCTTTCTGACTCCATCACCAGCCTTATTACATTTTTAAAAGCATGTACCGTTACGTCATTACTTACTTTTTATGACATGATCAGGACATTTTATGCATACTATACTATCACTTCGAATTGATTTGTTTTACTGTGTTGGTCGGAAAAAGGCTAAAATCCCAAAGCTATATGGCAGGACATCTCTAGGCCAATCACAACAGAGCTAGCCAGCTAACCAATCAGAGCAGACTGGGCTCTGGTTTCAGACAGAGGGTGAAAGGGTGCTTCAGTACAGGCAGTATGAGAAAAATAAAGAGCTTTTTGACACAAGCTATTTGTTAGTTTAAAAAACAACCAATGCCAAACATTTAATAATTTATCATTTTTATTTCATATTTGAATATAAATCTCTGTCAAATGAAAATACCCTAAATGATAGACAAATCATACATATTTACAGAATTTATAAAAAGGAAACGATAATCTGTGTTGACTTGTCTTCGGGGGATTTCTCTGACTCCATTACCATTCTTTAACATCTTTTTCAAAGATTTAGGAAATATGAATACATTTCTGAATAGACATTGTTTCTGTGTTGAAGAGCTCAAGGTGTGTACAGGTCAGGCAGCCTTTCTTTATATAGGATTCTCCACCAACAAAGATACCATATGAAAGCTTAGGTGTACATTGTGAGAGACAACAAAAGCAAAAAGGTGAAATCCACCGTTAGGTTTTGGCTTCTGGAAGATGGCGTTATGTAAGAGATGTTACAGAATAAATCCAGCCCCGACGTGAGGGCTCATACAAGCTGCCATTTGCAGTCACACCATGTGACTTAGTTACAGTTTGGTGAAATTGGCTACAGCTGAACACAAGATAAAAAGAAAGCAATATGATCATGTTCCCCTGGCACAGTACGAGGGATAAGGCTAAACCAGTGCACCCATAACGATTCATACACCTCCTTCTGACGCACAGAAAACCAATCAAATCTCCAGAGGACTCCCGTCTTTTTTGGCAAGATCTGCAGAACAACACAATCGCAGAAACAATGGCGAGATAAATAATTTGCACAGAAAGTAAAGAAAACTGACCTGACACATGATTACGCAGCCGGTGTAACAGCAGACCCACAGTTTCCTTAAATGCAGACACTTTGGACTGGATTGCAGAGCCACCATCGCGTTAAATACTGTTCTCAAACTCTTCGCTGTGAGATGGAGAAACATGTTGGAAGTCTAGCTTTTGCCTCGGAACATCAAACCCACAAAAAGAGGTAGGTGATGTGACCTTTCTTTAGAAAAAGACTGTATTGCTGGCATCAGTGGTTAGATAGTTAAAATGCACTAGAGGGCAGAATACTGTGTTAACAGCGAATATACTTCTCATTCATTTGACTAAAAAACATCCTAATCTAAATTTGGAGGCATTGGTCAGCTTTAGTTTGAGCAGTGGTAGTTTGTGGCAGTCTGGTGTTAAGTATCACTTTAAAAGAAACTGGCAACAGGAAATCATACAAAAACATTCTTCACTCTACAACCTGTGTGGTATTAGTGTCTGTTTGTAACACTGATGTCACCCTGGTAACGCCACGAGGTCTAAAAGCATCGGATACATGAACTTCCCCTAAAAAGGACTCATTTTGTAACAGAAAACCTTTTCTCTAAAGTCAGATACGGCTTCCAAGGGTCCAGCCTGGAATCAAATCAGCATGTGGGCGACAACTTTGTTATACTTTTAGTTGGATTATACATTTACCATCACTCATTTATAACATGTAGGTCACTTCAAAAGTCTTTGTGTCAACTCAAATACAAACTAAAACAAAGCCCTGGGTTCGATCCCAACACACTGAAAAAGGCATCATACACTCCAGCGGAGCGGAAATGATCTCATGATTGATGACAATTATTGCACCGGACATGACAGTCAATGGAATAAAAAAAAGGGCAGCATGAAATGTAAAACGATACAAAGAAATCATGCGACAGGTGGGACGATACTGGAATAAGTCATGGAGGGGCTTCAGAGACTCTCAGTGATGCAGACCTCAGAACAGCTGCTGTGTTAACGTCCTTCACTCACATGATCTCCACAATGATAGTGGCTCCAACTATACATCGTTTGGAAAACTACTCAAAATTTGCATTCAAAATCATCTGTGCAATCAAAATAATATTGTCGATTGAAATCAATATTTTTTTGCGAATCATATAATTACGTTGATTGATTTAAAAAAAGAAGAAAAAAGGCCATATGCTTAAAGCATGTAAAACATAACTATTCACTTCTCAAACATTCAATATTATCCACTAACTACGCTAAATTTAAAAACATAAAACTGCTATTCTCTCATTCAGAAAAAGTGTGCCGTGCAGAGATAAGCAAAAGGCCAAAAACAGGTGGGCCGCGCAAAGCATCGGGGGCTCATGAAGGAGTGTCGGGTGAGGGGGACTTTGTGGGCACAACAGGTATGCAAAGTTAGAAAAAGGAAAAAGTGTCGCTCAGGAAATAAAAACAAATCAAACTGCCATCTTGGAAAACATTCATGGCTCCACACATTCAGCCTCTCTTTACAACAGGGCTACAGGAAACGTCCCTGTAGCGGCGAGCGTCACCGTTGGATACGAAGGGAGGGATAGTACAGCATTACAGATGGGTCACCTGGTGTAGGTCCAATGTTTAAACATGTCAGAGCCTCTCCTCCACCTCCGGCTGCAGAGCTACAACATCGCTATGCTCTCCGGCGTGCAGTTGAGATGTGTGGAGGTGCTGCTCCCCCCGGGGGACTTGAGGCCTTTCGTGGCCCCTCCCAGCGTCGAGCCCCGCGCTCCCATGAGGATCCCCGAGCCGTGGTGGAGACAGTGCTGCAGGCCCGCCATCATGGTCTCGCTGGTGACGGTGCCGAACTCGTAGGTGAAGGTGCCGTAGAAGACCAGGATGTCCACCGTGAAGACCCACTCGCAGATGGCGGCGGCGTGCTGCAGGACGAAGCTCTCGTGGACGAAGAAGATGCCGCCTGGGAGGAGGGGGGGTTAAGGTGGACAAACATCTGTGGGACATGCAGGAGGGAAATCTGAGCCTTCTCCTGTCACTGAATTTATATAAATATAGAATTGGAGGACGAAACCCTCTTTCATTGTCCCACATACTTGCACTCAGCAGACACGGTGCATTTTACCCATCTTAGTACTAGGAGCGGTGGGCAGCTATTGTACAGCTGCCCACCGCACCCTTGCTCAAGGGCACCACGGCAGGGCCCAGGAAGTGAACTGGGACCTCTCCAAGTGCCAGTCCAAGCCCCTACTGACTGAGCCACTGCCGGACAGAGGCAGAGGAAGGAAGCACATGAACAATGTCATGAGATGAATCCAGGATATAATGAGATGTATGACGAGGAGCTTAACCTCTGGATGGGAACTCATTCTTTGATTAGAGTTCAATTGAAATTGGCTTTGCAGCTCAATTAAACCGATGTGTTTAAAAGGAGGACGTGACTGCAGTATATTAACCTTTGATGGACAGTCGGATAATATTGAGAGCCTGAATGGTTCTCATCCCTGTCTCCTAACATCAGTGCAGTGGATATTGATTGGTGGAGGAGGAGCAGTCTCCCTGGAAGCCACTGAGAGGCAGGCAGCACAGAGAAAAGTGAACCATCAGCATTGTAAGTGTTAAACCAGAGGGGGAGGCCGGAGAGATGTTATCGAGGTCTTGAAGTTGAAGGACAATCATCTCTTTCTGTGCAGCCGTGTCTCGAGGCTAGAGGAGTGAGATGAGAGTCTCTAATGTTTAGCAGTGATCCCATGACGGCACAGTGGAGCCAGAACTGAGCTAACGGCCTGTGACAGGGCGGGACACACCTCACAAACTCAACCCTTCTTTTCATTAAAAGCATTGGTGTTGGATCAGGTTGTAACTATAGAGTTAACGACAGCTCCTGCTAGCAGGGATACTTTAATCCTTTACTTAATACAAATACATAAAAGGTACTCATTATGCAGGATTACTCTTTTCAAAGTGTTATATTATTAGAGATTTTAATTCAGTGATTTTATTTCAGTGTTATCAATCACTAATGCAAGAGCATTTACATTTGGCCAACTCTGTATACTACTGGGTAGATAAGTAGTATATTATTACTGCATCTTTCTTATAGTATGTTTTAAATGTAAAGCGTAACTGTACGTAACAAATAACTGCATTGGAGTAAAAAAGGAAGATATCTCTCTGAATTGTCGTAGAGTAGGAGGATAACGTAGCATTAAATGGAAAAGACTCCATCCATGCTTCTTACACCTTTTCCAAAGTCAAATTCAAGCACTTTTCAAGCATTTTCAAGGTGCATTTTCCAGCTTTTCAAGCATCTTACAGCTGTTGTAAATTACATATTTATATACACATACTCAAATGATTATTTCCCTACCTCACATTAAATCAGTGTTCTTTATGCTATAAACAACCAAATGTGTGTTTCGTGATAGCATTCTACACGAGGATGACAAATTAAAGAAAAGAAAACTAAGTTTAATATTTCAAAATGAGTGACCCATCTGTATGTCCCATATAACCTGTCTGAGCCAATATAAAACAATCAGCCAAATAACTTTTCAATACATTATTGATTACTATTTTTGAGGTACTTTTAGGTTGGCAGTAAACACAAGTCAGAGGTACATGGTGTACTTCTACTCCACTACAGTTCAGAGGTACATGGTGTACTTCTACTCCTCTACAGTTCAGAGGTACATGGTGTACTTCTACTCCTCTACAGTTCAGAGGTACATGGTGTACTTCTACTCCTACAGTTCAGAGGTACATGGTGTACTTCTACTCCACAACAGTTCAGAGGTACATGGTGTACTTCTACTCCACTACAGTTCAGAGGTACATGGTGTACTTCTACTCCACTACAGTTCAGAGGTACATGGTGTACTTCTACTCCTCTACAGTTCAGAGGTACATGGTGTACTTCTACTCCTCTACAGTTCAGAGGTACATGGTGTACTTCTACTCCACTACAGTTCAGAGGTACATGGTGTACTTCTACTCCACTACAGTTCAGAGGTACATGGTGTACTTCTACTCCTCTACAGTTCAGAGGTACATGGTGTACTTCTACTCCACTACAGTTCAAAGGTACATGGTGTACTTCTACTCCACTACAGTTCAGAGGTACATGGTGTACTTCTACTCCTCTACAGTTCAGAGGTACATGGTGTACTTCTACTCCTCTACAGTTCAGAGGTACATGGTGTACTTCTACTCCTCTACAGTTCAGAGGTACATGGTGTACTTCTACTCCACTACAGTTCAGAGGTACATGGTGTACTTCTACTCCTCTACAGTTCAGAGGTACATGGTGTACTTCTACTCCTCTACAGTTCAGAGGTACATGGTGTACTTCTACTCCTCTACAGTTCAGAGGTACATGGTGTACTTCTACTCCACTACAGTTCAGAGGTACATGGTGTACTTCTACTCCTCTACAGTTCAGAGGTACATGGTGTACTTCTACTCCACTACATGTATTTAATACCTTTAGTTACTTTACAGATCAGGATGAATGATGTGAAATATAATCAAGTGTTAAATCTTTAGTTCCACCTGGAGTAAATCCACAAGCTACCCTGCAGTATACAAAGTCATTCAAACTAGCTGCACCTTTACCAGCTTTGAGAACACTTTCATGATCAATCATTATAAAACATATCATATATATTATTCTGAAATGGACCAATCTGCACAACGACTACTTTTACTGTCGGTACTTTAACTAGATTTGGATGAGAATACTTTCCTACTTTCACTTGAGGAACATTTTGAATGCAGGACTTTTACTGTGACAGAGTATTCCTACACTCTGGTACTTCTACTTTTGCTAAGTACAAGATCTGAGTACTTATAATTTCACTACAAGATCTGAGTACTTATACTTTTACTCAAGTACAAGATCTGAGTACTTATTCCACCTCTGGTAGCGTATTAGTCTGAATTGTAGTCACAAAATCACGCAGAGCTGCATAAAAATAGACTCACAATGGTAACAAGTGGAAAATAATATTTACAAATGCGTACAATGATTTGTAGGTAATGCTGACTACTCAAGACACCTGACTTATACATCTTCAAAGGAAGACTGTGTTCATTCTACAATTACATGGGATTAAAGCAACATGTAGTTTTACTTGTATAATACTTACATGTTATATAAAGACAGTTTGTTTTCATCAAATAAACAAAGTCTTGGCTTTCAGAATATTAAACTTGTTTCGGCAAATTCAGATGATAAATACAACTTTGAAGCTTGTGACGGCATAATTACAAGCAGAGAACTGAGTAACTTAACGTCACAGCAGGTATAACAACAGCTGGTGTTTCTCACACACACACACACACACACACACACACACACACACACACACACACACACACACACACACACACACACACACACACACACACACACACACACACACACAACACACACACACACACACACACACACACACACACACACACACACACACACACACACACACACACACACACCACACACACACACACCACACACACACACACACACACACACACACACACACACCACACACACACACACACACACACACACACACACACACACCACACACACACACCACACACACACACACACACACACACACACACACACACACACACACACACACACACACACACACGAAAATGTGTCTTCGGGTCAATGTGACTGATTTCGAGAGAGCAAGTCACATTTGGTTTAGGCACGAAACAAACTACCAGTAGAAATACATTGCTTTCAAAATCGCTCTGTGTCGAATTAATAGATTATATTTCGTGACTATAACACGAAATGCCGTGAGTGCTTCATCCTCTGAACACCACAGGAGGGCGACTGTAACGCACATAACATAGGTACGCTCATCTGAAATGATTGTCCCCTGCAATTATTATTATCCGTCAATCGAGTTCGCTATTCAGCTAGCTAACGTTAGCTTAAACAAACATAACATGCAACGTTAGCCTAATCTAAAATGCTCTTCTACGGCGTACCTTTCATGTGGCTCGTCAGCGCAGACTCTCGCATCGTTATTTTTGCAAACTTTGCAGGAGGCTACTCGTGGGCTTGACCCTCGTCTTAGCCATGGCTTGTATTTGTCTTCTGCTAGCCAACGCTCGTTGAAACTGCAACCTCCTGGCACACAGTCATCTATCTCATCAGAATGCCCAGGTCAGAGTAACACAAACACTTGCAGGTCGCGCGCATAGCGCGGGAAGGCCGCAGCGGAGCTGTTTTATGTAGAAGCGAAGCAATTCTTTTCTTTTAATCTAAAAAGCGAACTATTCAGTCAGACAGCAATTTATTGTAAAAGTAAAGCATTTACATTTTCAAGCACTTTATCTCAATTTCAAGCACCATTCCCAAAATTCAAGCACTTTCCCAACTTTGAAAACACCACGTCAAATTTCAAGCATTTTCAAGGATTTCAAGCACCCGTACGAACCCTGAGCAGGATATAATTGTTGATTTGAACAGATGTATTTAGTGAAGGATACTGAGGACGAGGGAGACCATGGCCCCCAGCGCCAGAGCCACTCTTAAATGGGCCATCCAGTAGTCGAGGGCGGTCAATGCCACCCGGTAGGTGAGCACACACTGCAGGCACACGAACAGCAGCCCCGCCGGGAACGCCACCCCCGCACCCACATAGTGCAGAGACTTGGCGTGATCCACCTGGAGAACAAGACCACTATCATCAGAAGGATTGCAGCTACAAACACATCAGGATTTGATCTACTGGACATTTTACATTCTGTTTGATCCAATTCTAATCAACATACGTCTTATTCCTGCATCTGACTTGCACCACTATGTCTCTTTTCTTTGCTTTCCTTCATGTCTGTAGTATGTTGCATTGTTGGAGGATCCTGGGACTTGCTGAACCTGCCCTGTAGCTTTTGTGCATATGACAATAACAACTTTGAATGTTGAATATGTACCTGGAAGTTTCCCACCATGACCAGGCCCACGGCGTTGGTGCAGCCCGACACCAGAGCGCTGGTGTTGATCCAACACTGGTGGCTGTGTTCAATCACCTGGGCGTAGCGCAGGAAGCACACCATCACCACTGCAGGACACACACACAGTTACAACGCATCAAGACACAAGAGAGAAAAATACTGATAGAACTATTAACCGTTGTTTTTGGTTTTTTTAAACAGAGAGTAGATGGAACATTTAAATCAACATGGTTCAGTTGATTTAATTATTGTAGGTAGTGAAATGGATTTTAGTGTTTCAGTTTTCATACTGCAAGGGGAGATTTTAAGGTATTATACACCTTTTTCAGATTTCTAAATCCTTTAAACATGACCCTTTCTGATTTATAGTTTTATACATAGATGGAGGATTGTCATGTGACTCCATTCTGCTGAGCTAAGACAATCAGATTTCTTTCTGCTGTCGGATGTTGCATGAGGGGGGGGGGGGGGCTTTTCAGGACAGGTATAGCAGCGCTGTTTGAAAACTACAACCCTGCAGGATGCCGTCTGTAACTGAACCAGTAAAACACAGATTAACAACAGTAGGGGATGAAAACTCAAATAAAAGCATCCACTTTAGAAAGGTGAGTTGAGACAAAAATGAAATGTGGAAATAAAAATGAAATGCAGCATAAAAGTCTGGAAAAAAAGTAAATGCATACAAAGAAAAGTTACGTTTTTTTAACAGATCCAGACTGAAAACACCAGTTGAGATGCAATTAGTGATAAAGCTTGTGATGACAAAGGGCAGGAGGGGGAGGTGCAGAGGAGGAAGGCAATGGAGGGGACACAGGGGAGAGGAGTCAGAGGACACCGGGGGAAGTGGAAGGGAAGCCGCATTCATTATTGATTAGAGAGCTTGGCTATTTCAAGGCCTTCAGCTCCTCTCAGCTGACGTCTGTGGGCACCACGGAGGTTAATATGACACGTAATGGACATCAAACACCTCGGCTGTGCTCAGCCAGTGCTGTGTGTCAAAGGACAGAAGGCAGCAGTCCTATTTAGTGTAGAGGAAATCACCAATTTGTTCCATGATTATCAGTATTTAATAAGGGACTGTCACAGAACGTTCGCCCCAGTACATTGTATCAAATCAAATCAAGTTTTATTTACATAATACATTTATAAACGATGTTTGGTCGAGCCAAAGTGCTGTACATATAATAAAAATAGCCTACAAATGTTGTAGCATTGATGCCAACTCTTTGTCTTGCTAAGAGTTGGATGAGAAGATCAATACCACTCTGATAAATGTGAACACTGAAGCTACAGCTACGGGACAGTAAGCCTAGCTTGGCCCAAAGACTGGAAACATCAAGGCGGATGTTTTATCAGATGGTCAAAAATCCAGCTACCAGTAAGTAGGTAAATACAAGAAAATTGTTGTCTTGTGTTAAATTACGTGCTGAAGCTCCTTTATATATACTATGGTCCACACAGTATTTATGACATACTATACTATGACTTTTGTTTTACCTTTAAAGGTCACATGTCATGCTTTTCCGGTTATTACCCGTCCCCTTGTGTGTTATGAAGGTTTTTATGCATGTAAAAAGTGTGCAGAGTCAAAACCCTCAAAGTACACCCTGTAGCGAGTAAAACTCTAACACAGAAAATACCTCCCCAAAAAGCCTCGTTGGTGATATGTCATCATCCATTTGATTCTTCCGGGTACGAGATTACGTAAGCACGTACCCGGAACTAAATGGACCAATCCGTGGAGCCGTTACGTTACGTCCGCGGAGCCGTTACGTTTAGCCCCGTTGATTGGTCTAAATTGACCAATCCACGGACTTCCTCACACACACACTCAGTGCAGGCAGCTCTGCTGATTTCTCCTCCCTGGCTGCAGGCTGATAACAGACATCATCATCATCTTTTATTTAAAGAGACTCTTGGTCCATTATTACAAAAACATACAACACTCAAATATAAATTAAAACAGGCAGTTATACCAATGTTCCCACAGAGGTGACTGGTATCGTACAGCACTGAAACACGGATTTGACAGCAGCATAATGACAGAGTTATGAGAAACATTCAATCGACAGATGAATTTGTACATTCGATTTCTCAAAAGAGCATGGAACGGGTTGACTCGTGCGTTACAGAACATTTCACTTGCACTGCACCACCTTGGTTTTCTAAGCAGTATACGCAAACAGTCATTATAGTCAGGGGTGCACATAACTTTTTTGGCCTGGTTCTCAAAGGAGCACCTGGAGATGTTGCTTGGTGCTCATCCTTAAAATGAAATAAACCGTAACTTTTGAGGGGGTCTTGACTTTATTTGCCAGACACACGACACTGAACACAAATGCAGAGGTGAACACAGAACACACATGCAGAGGTGAACACCGAACACACATGCAGAGGTGAACACTGAACACACATGCAGAGGTGAACACAGAACACACATGCAGAGGTGAACACAGAACACACATGCAGAGGTGAACACAGAACACACATGCAGAGGTGAACACAGAACACACATGCAGAGGTGAACACAGAACACACATGCAGAGGCGAACACAAGACAACATTAGCACGACCAGTAATCCTACAAGCTGTCATCACTACCCTCCTGACTGTTCTCCTCACTGTCTTCCTCTCTGTCAGACATGGTAGCTGATGATGTAGGCCTACTTCTTTCTCTCTGGTTGAGTCTGTGATTAGCTGCTTGCATCCACAAGTCAACAGCTGGTTTTGGGTCGAAAGTCTCTGTTGTCATCTTAGACAAGTGGATGTAATCAAATAAGTATGTGAACATAACCAATAACCTACCATAGCCAATAACAAATGAATGTAACTTATTTTATTTGTGTTGTTCATTCATATCTTATTTTACCTTAACATTTATTTATGCATTTTTTTTTATCTCTCCAGTTTTAAAGGATATTTTTGGTTACTGTCCTATAGTATACATTGGAATGATTTCAAACCTGTTTATCCCAATAATTATAAAGGAGTGCCTTGGAAATATGTGTTTACATAAATTGCGACCAAACCGTTTGAACTTAGACTAAGAGTCCTTTACCTCACTGAGCTGTAGTTATCAGTCTGACTGGAGAGGACTGTCCCTCCACATTATTGTAGAAACATCTTCTTCTTATATCCGTTAGAGCAGCTAGCACGGCACCAGATTCTAATAATAACAGCGCTGGTACCGGTGCACCCTCCCTCGCTCACTTGCATTTTGGCTGTGAGCTGCGGACGCCAGATAAGCCAACATCCCCCATTTTCATCACTTACAGCGCCCATCGTACAGGGCAAATGAAAGGTGGAACCGGGTGAAAAGGGTGTTACATTTACTTAATTATGAATATTGTTACATCAAGGCCGAAAATTAGGATGAGCCCCAACGGTCAAAATGTTTTTTTCCCTCCCAGAACTGCCAGCGCAGCACCTCCACAGATCTGGCGCCCTAGGCGAACATCTAGCCAGTGCTACGGGCCGACCCTGAGTTCAAATCATGGTTCATACATGTATGCAACTCGTAAATATCTTTCTCTCTCTCTCTCTTCTCTCTCTCTCTCTCATCTCATCTCTCTCCTCTATTTTCCCTTCTCTCTCTCTCTCCTCTCTCAATGTTGGTACGCAAATGCGCTTTGTTTCAAATGACCCGGTGCTCTTTTTTTGGCAGAGGTGCGCATGCGCACCTCCGCACCAGTTATGTGCAGCCCTGATTATATGCAACCTGGAGCTTCTTGAGGCTCGCCTTCTTATACTTGACCCACAAGGGGGCAGTATAGAGAGGAGTGCAATAAGCTCTAAAGAGGTTCACCTTAACCTTATCTGAACACCAAGAGAATTTTCTAGCCAACATGTTGGCTTGCATATATAAGACACGCCACTGTCTATACATGTCATCATCATCAGCCATTTCATCTGTGATGATGTGTCCCAGATACTTAGTGTTACAGCAAACAGACAGCACCTGCCCTGACAGGTAGAATGTTGGAAAACAAAGGTTCTTATTAGGGCTGTGCAATTAATCGTATTTTAATCGCGATTACGATTATGGCTTGCGACGATTAGGAAAACAGCATAATTGACAAAATACGATTATTTTGCTGGGTGCGCTTTCGCCCCTCCCTAAAAGCCCACTCGGCCACGTGGGAGTGACATGTGTTGTGAGTGTTCAGCGCAAGCGAAGATGTCAGAACAAGAGCAGCAACTAGTTAAAAAGAAGGGTCGCGGGGAGATTCCCAGTCGATCGCGAGATGTGTCTAAAAATAGAACAACAATATTCTGTTTTATCGTTAATGTCCTGTAACATAATGTTCCCGTGCCAGAATAATGCACTTGAACGCATCAAAGCTTTGTGATTGGCCGGCCTCACCCCATGTGTCGGGGCGTGGCTGGTGAGCAGTGCACTAGTTCGCTGACTTTGTCCGTGTCAACAGCATGGATGGTCAACAGGAGTGACAGTCCGCACACACACAAGACCGCAATTATGGCAGAAGCAAAAAAGCCCAAATTATATCATTTTCACTCCGAGTGGGAGGATGATTATTTTTGTATCTATTCCAATTCAAAGTCCGTCTGTCTCATCTGCAATGCGAGCGTGGCTTTATCGAAGAAGGGTCATTTAGGAGCGGCATTTCAAAACAGTGCACAAACGCTACGAGACGGAATTCCCTCCTAATTCTGCCCTACGCTCCCAAAAGGGGAGGGGCCTGAGAGCACAGCTAAATGCACAGCAGTCCATTTTCACCAGGCCCAACAACAAGAGCAAGGCTGCTACCAGAGCATCTTATCGCGTCAGTCACGTTCTTGCGAAACACATGAAGTCTTTCGAAGACGGCGAAGTTATGAAAGAAGCATTCCTGGAGGCTGCGACGCGCTTTTGTGGGACAGTAAAAATAACAGAATCATTTCAACAGGTTTTTGATATAATAAAAACTCAATTTAGATACCGTTATTAATCTGCTGTAAGTTTTAGTTTGTTTGAATTTATTCATGATAATTATTGTACAAAATGGTATAAGAATGCAAACATTAAGATCTGTTCTGTTTAAATTGATTATAGTCTATCAGTTCAGAAACTAGTGTTGCTTGCATCCTATTTTAAAGGCATTTCTTTTTATACTCTAATAAAATGCAACAAAAAATGGGTTTGATTCTATTAATGTTGTCTTTTGTATTGCACTGTTGCTGCAGCAGATTACTGTGTAGCTTTTTTCCTGTGTCATATGTGGCAGCACTGCCACAAGTTCCTCTTCAGAGAGGGTCTTCAGTACAGGTGGCAATATTGTCACCTGCCTGCGCTCATCTCTGAAACCAGACCATGTAAACAGGCTGGTGTTTCTTGCAAAACATCTTTAAGAGATGACATGAGCAGCCCTACCAGCATTTGCCATGGTGGCCTAGACATTTTTATTTGGTCTTAAATTGTAGTTCAACATTTATTTCCTGTTACTTCTGGACCATGACGGTTGGCCAGCCTTCAACATTTAACTGAGTGGAATATGATGAATATGTTTTACCAAAATGTTGGCTATATGTTAAGGAGTTTTCAGTAGGTTGTGACAATGCACTGCAACATATTGGATTTCATTTATTTTGGTCTAATTTATTTTTATTTATCATATTAATATATGTTTAGTATGGTTTTGGAAGTGCGCTCCAACACATTTATTGATCTTGTTTATTGGTAAAATATTATTTGTTTTAAAGTTCAATAAATGGTCAATGAATAATCGTCAAAATAATCGTGATATCAATTATTGACCAAATAATCGTGATTATGATTTTTGCCATAATCGCACAGCCCTAGTTCTTATCCCCTTTTGCTCTGCAGATCATTACAGCGCTCTTCTTAGCATTGTATTTAACGTCAAATTTGACTCCGTAATCAGAACAAACATTTAGCAACTGTTGAAAACCAGCACTGCTAGGAGAAACAATAGCCAGATCATCGGCATACATAAGATGGTTTACAATCACATTACCAATCACACACCCTGTTTTACAGACACTTAAATCATCTGATAGATCATTCATATAGATATTAAAAAGGCATGGTGAGAGGAGCCCCCCCTGGCGGACTCCATTACCAACACCAAATGGCGCAGAGACTGCATTCCCCCATTTGATCCGCATGCTCTGGTTGGCATACCAATAAGCCAGGATTCTATTTATACTGTTAGGCACACCCCTTTGTCTCAATTTTAAAAACAGTTGATGGTGGTTAACTCGGTCAAAAGCCTTAGAGGCATCAATGAAACCAATCAGAACAGTGGAATTCTGTCTTCTATATGTTTTCTACCATTTCCTTCAAAGCATAGATGCATAGCTCAGTACCATGCTTAGCCTTGAAGCCAAACTGGTTATCTGAGGTACATAAATAGGAACATAGTCTATCTAACAAAATTCTTTCCAAGACTTTGGATAACACACTGGCTAGAGCAATTGGTCTATAATTATCCAAGCTCCCTACCTTGCCCGCTTTGTCCTTAATGACAGGCACCAAAGTAACAGTCAACATGGAGTCTGGCAACATACCATGAGTCATGAGGCCGGTAAAACAAATGGCAAGAAGAACTGCAACCTTCGGGCTTGCCAGTTTAAGGTGCTCTGCAGTGATTCGGTCAGAGCCGCATGCTTTATTATCAGCTAGCTGTGCAATTGCTCGATAAACCTCTTTAGCTGTGATTCCCACTGTGTCACTCTTCACAACATCACCAACTTTGTAGGGGTCACTTTTAACACAATTAAGTATATTAGAGTAATGTTGCCTCCACAACTCAGCTATGTTATCGGCTCCAGAGACTCCCTCTATGGTACACGGTAATGACGTACTGGCCCTGTTCAGAGCTCTCACCTCCTTCCAGAAGCCAGTCACATCATTATGAAGCAGCTTTTCAGCCATAGAGTCCGCTCTCAATGTTTCTGTGTGTTTGTTGACATAACGAACTGCATATTTATATCTAGCATTTGTACGCTTTTTGAGATCCAGGACAGGCCCTTCTCTGGGCCTACCTGCCTGGACCCAGGCCCCAAAAGCATTCTTGGCTTCAGCGTATTGATCAGCCACATGTTTATTCCACCCTGGCTTGACGTTGTGTCTCTTCCTAGAGTAGGTACAGCACGGTCTACTGGCCTCCCATACAGCTCCCACAATACAATCATACATGTTACAGAGGTCTTCACGGTGAGAGTTTTCATTACAACCCACATCAACACACAGAGTTGCCACTTTGGGTAGATATACATCACTCAATAGGACATCAGTTCTCCCATAGTACAATAGCCTATCCTCATTTGTGAGCTTGGACCAATCCACTTTAGTGTTACAGGCATTTTTAACCTCCTGAGACATCTCAGGGAGACTATCACAATCTAGTGACAGTTGGGATCGCGGCGAAATTCTCTCTGCAGACCCATTCTCTCTACAGACCCATTCTTACAGCGTTTATCAACCTTTTTCTTACCCAATATCAAGCCACACTTATTGTTTATACTTCGGCTGTGACTTTGTGTGTGCTCAGGATGAGTTTGGCTGTGTTTCGCTGTGTATCGCTAAACAAGGAAACCACACCTCCACGGAGCTCAGCGCGATTCACAACGTCCCGACCAATCAGAGCACACTGCTCACAGGGAGGGTGGGGGCTGGCGCTATTGGAGCTCCAACGAGCCGTTAAAGGCAGAGAGTGAAATTCAGTGAATACACGTCGTTTACAGAGATGCTGTATGAGAAACCAATGTGAGTTTGGAAAATTGCACAATATAAATCTATTCTGGTAGACCTCAACAATGGAATTATGATCGGTGGAAATGGCCATGACATGTCTCCTTTAAAATGACAATCTGACATTGTGTTGTAGAGACATAAGAGTGGATTTAAACTCATCATCAACCCAGGGCAAATAAGCAAAATGGCAAATATATTCCTACATACAGACAGAACTCAAGCACACGCATCATTTCTATTAATGACAGAACTACATGGTTATAATTCCAGTTCAAAAGATGCCTTACCCATGAAGGCCCCGACGTTGCCGATCAAGCTGAACAGGCAGCTTTCAGGAGGGAAGGAGCCACATTTACTGGAGCAAATGAAAACAAAACAGCTGTTAGTATTAAAAGGTAGTATAACCTATACCTAAATATAGCTCCGTCCTTTTACCATCTGTCTGTACTTCTCCCAAGACATACAGTATATGAACATTCAGAATGAATATGAACTAATTAAGTCATTTTGATTACTCATGAGTTACGTGAGCGTCCTTATTCAAGAATATGATGATATCTATGAGACCTTTCCTCTACAAACACTGAGGAAATGTCAGTTGGTCCCATGATGCCTTTTTACAAGAGTGCTTGCCCGTGGTTAGAGGCTTATTTGCAGATTAAACTAATGCAGTTGATGCAGAGTGTGGGGTAATGACTGACAGAGCCACAACATAACAAGGTGCTAATTCATGCAAAATGTGTTTCTGTGTTCTGCAGAAAGGAAGAAGAATATCTGACCTGATGAGGGGGATGTCCTGGATGGTGCAGCACGTCTTGGGGAAGCCTGGTCGGGCCAGCTCCTCTATGCACGTTACATTGTAAGACCTGCAGCAGACACACAATTAGTTCAGTACATGTTCTAGTGATGTGGAATCAGACTGTGTCCACAATCTGGGATAATAAGGGCCTGGTGCCCCTTTCATCAGATCAAGAGAGGAGAATCACTCACCAGTTCTCCACAGGACAAACATGGTGATTCATCACAGCCATGGCGTAGCTGAGGGGCAAGGACACAGAAGTGGCAAATGTCAAACACGGGGTACTGATCCCTGATGACACAAAGTGTTATCGAGAAACTAGATTACACTGGGCTTCAGGGGAAAAGGTCATCCAGCGTGAAAGGATGTTCACAGGAGCATGTGAAAATACTCAAATAGTGCTCGACAGTGTGAAGATTTCAGTTGAATATCTGAGCATCGACACATTCCCTTATGCATCACTGTCTTGTATTTGTTGATCATGTGAATATCTTGTGATTAGAGCTGCACCCATTGCAGGTTTCTTGGTCCATTCCTGATTTTATAACTCTTACCTGCTGATTATGATATTTTTACTTTCAAATAACTATTCCTGACAGCATTCACAAACATCTTTGTACTTTTTCTTTCATGGAAAGTAGGAGTTCAGATGGTTATTATAAATATCATATCATAATATCATAAAACACTGACTATTAAACAACTTCCTAAATAACCAAATGATTACAAAACTGTCCTATCACTGAAACTAATTTCAAAATAAAAGAGCTTGAGGTTACTGGACAAATAAAATACAAGAAAAAAATAGATTTTCTTTCCGCAGAAGAAAACAGATGCAACTGTTTTTATAGCAACATACTTACTGTCATTTCCTCAACAGCTTATTTTGGACTTACAGGTGTGACAAATGAAAAGCTATCGATTGGTGCATCTCCACGGTGATACCCAGTTACACACCCCAACAAAGAAGGCCCTCACACAGCCCATGTGATGCAGGAAGTGTAGTACACTCACACTATCCATATCCCTGTGATGGAGAAGGCAGACAGGCTGACAGGCAGGACGATCCAGGCAGTCATCGGGCTGGCAGTGAGCGGACTTTGTTCCAAGCATGGGGTGAGAGGGGGGCTTCGGGCTGGAGTGGCGACACGACAGGAGGGATCAGGTGGGGGGCGGGTGGGGTGTGGGGTCACTAACACACAGGGAAACACACAGGGGGGGACATGAGAGGAAAAAAGGGGGAATGGCACAGCTATTCTGCTCCACAGGGCCCTGCAGCCAGCAGCAACCTGCAACGAGAGGGGAGGGTTTCATTAGATATCAGTGTTTCCCACAGATATGAAATATACTTGGGCGGGTGGTGGCAAGGAGAGGGGGGGGGGGGGGGGGGGGGGTGCGCGAAAAAAAAAAAAAGTTTTAACAACATTATTTATTGACTTTTCATTCCGGTATAATCATTTTGCGCAAAGATGGCACTGTTTGTCAGAGCACTTCATCCTTCTGGGATTTCATGAAGAACAGCTCCAACGCCTGTGTGTATGGGAATGCCTCTGGTGCTGGTCCATTAACTGCCAGTGTTTCCCACAGATCTGAAATATACTTTGGGGGGTGGTGGTAGCGGGGGGGGGGGTTGAGGTGACGTGCAACAACATTAACCTTTCTGTTTAGCAGACCCTTCACGCGATGGCAGAGCGAACAGGTACAGGCAGGGCCCATAATGATAGCCCTATAGTTTAAATCTACTACCCACACATGAACATATGGAAATGGGTTACTATTTAAAAAAATAAATGTATTTATTAATGTATTTAGGAACCTATCCATGTGATTTTTAGTGGGGGTCGACCTCAAATCCTCTAGGGGGGTCCAGGGGCATGCCCCCCCGGTAAGATTTTATTTTTTATTTTGGAGTTAAATGCATCAATCCTGCAATCCCTGCATTTTGAGGGGAAAATAAAGAGACTAGATCTATGGAAACACCTATATTAAACAGAACTGTATACATTTCAATAATCATAAAATCAAGGCCATAACCAACAACATACCATTTCCAATATGAAAAAAACACTGAAACTTGTTAATTTATTTTTGGTTCATTTATAGTTGTGAGTGTGTCTGTGCTCCTGAATCAGCCTCTCCTGTCTCCCTCCTCTCCCCCCTCTCCATCCTCTCCCCCTGCTCCTCTTTGAGGCAGCAGCAAAGACTAGTTTTCTCTCAACACGTTTTAAAAGTGTATCTTACCTTTTTTCACCTAGTTAACTTTTTATTTATTTATTCATGCATATTTTACTAATCACATTACATTTCATTTAGCTGACGCTTTTATCCAAAGCGACTTCTAATGACCGATTACAGGGACATTCTCCCTGGAGTAACTAAGGGCTAAGTGCCTTACTCAAGGGCACACTAGTGCTGGTGTTCCTGGCGGGATTTGAACTCACAGCCTTCCGATCTTCAGCCCACCTCACTATCCATTAGACCAATCACTACCCTCTCAAATGGAAATATGTGTTTACATAAATGGTGACCACACCGTTTGAGACCCACTGAGAACTTAGACTAAGTTAACTATCTAAACACTCAGAGAGTCCTTTACCTCACCTGAGCTGAGGTTATCCCGAGCTTGAATGACACACAGAGACCAATCAAGGGCTATGATTTATGATCTGTATGACAGTGGCCATGTCGGCAGGCCACATCATGTGGACAGCCAGTCACCCTGTGTGAGGCAGGCCACTTAACAGGCCAGAAGGAGGCGAGATCAGAGCAAGGGAGCGAGGGATCATTGTCTACAAGTTAATCGATCGCAGATGGCGTCATGGTCACGGACGAATAAAAAAAAAAAAACATTAAAAAAAAATGTTATAAAAAAAAAAATGGGTCGCGAAATATACCTGGGCGGCCGTTAATATACCTGGGCGGCCCGCCCAGGTATAGTCTATGTGTGGGAAACCCTGGATATTATACACACTCAATCCAACTGCACTGATCTGTACACATCAGGAGTTACTGCGTAAGGAAGTAGTGCTGCAAAGATCAGTAAATCAACAGAGAAAGTAACTCTCCAGAACAAATCACCTCTGGCTGGCAGAGACCTCTCTGCTCCATAGCTTCTTGTAATAACTGGACTTAAACTCCCACTGTACATTTTACATTCATATTCTATTTCATTTTTGAATAATCCATTCTTGCACAATAATATCCTGCATTATATTTGTTACTGGACATTTGTATTTCCACATGCATGTATATTTTTTATTTTATATTCTTTAACTTTTTTTAATGCTATTTTATTTCTGAAATATTTTGGACTGTTTATTTCTTGTGTCTTAATTTCTCTTATGTACATTGACTTGTATTTTTTACGCTGCTGCAACGCAAACATTTCCCACATTGGGATCAATAAACTGCCTATCTAAAAAGTATTATTATTATTAGAAAAATGCAGTTATTGTTCAATTAGCTTCATTTTATATATATATGTAAATAGCAAAAATGCTTCTCTTCAGTCCCTGCAATGTGGAGATTTGCCGTGTTCTCTGTTTAATACTATAAGTAAATATCCTTAGGTGTTGTACTGACACAACAGGACATTTAAAGACATCACCTCTGACTCATTGAAGAAATAATTGTAAGTTGTTTTGTTTTTCTAATGTAGCAGAATGGGAATATAACTGGCTGCATTTCATTTCTTGATGTTAAATGAAAATAAATAATCATGTCCTTTCAGCCCAGAAAGGAAGACTTGGATTTCACCTTTTTGTCAGTGTCCGTTTTCCCAGTCCGTTTAATTGTGTTTCTCAGCCCCCACTGCCACTTAAAGCCAGTTACTTGTCGCTCAAAATGCAATATCGCAGCTCTATTGGGTCTATCTTGTCGTGACGTACAAGTTCACTTTAAAGAATGAGAAACAACAAAAAGCTAATTGCGACACAGACAAGTTGACAGCTGACAGGCCGATATGCACGTCGTATGTTGTGTGTCTGCGTGACAGTAAGTTACTAGTAAGACGTCAGGGCATGTTGCAAAAACATTTTCACATCACAACAAATCTTTTCTCATGCTGTAATTGTAATGAGTTGTATTGGTGCATCTCAACTAGAGAGCAGATTATTGGACAATCTGAGCCTCTTGTTGGATACTGCTCACTCTTTCATTGTTAAACTATAACAGTGGAAAACTGTTTTTAGGAAAGAGAAACTCTTGCAACTTGATTCTGAACAGATAAAACATTAACCTGGTGTTGACTGTAACTGGTTTAACAAATGTTTGACATAATAAGGAAGAGCTGAAATGATTAGTCAAGCGATGGGAAAAAGACCAACATTTTTTTCCGACTAGGTTGGTTCGAAACATTTCAAATATGATGATATATGTGGGTTTTGGACTGACAACACAAGACATTGCAAGACAACACCTTGGTCTTTGTTAAACTGGGATGAATAGTTTTCACTGTTCTATGGATTTTACTGACCAAATGATTCATTCAGAAAATGATTCATAAATAATCATGAGTTGTTCTTTTGCAGCCAAATGAGAGTATAACTGCATTGTGTCGCAAAACCATGTGTTGTGCAATGTCAATAAATGATCCTCTTTGTAGTTGCAGACTTTAAAACGACCTTTTTATGTGTGTGAGGTCTAAAATCTAGTGTTTACTGTAAATGGTTAAGAAAGGGGATCCAAAAACAGAACGGACCAGTAATGTGCATTAGACTTGTTTACGCTAGCTTGTTTTATCTTTTAAAGGTGACTTCATCTCTGACACACAAACTGTGAGTCAGAAGGACAAGCACCTCTTGAAGAGAAATAAGCGGCTAAAACTACGCGGGAAAGGGTCCTCGTGAGAATGAGGACTCAGCCAAGGTCAGCTCCGTGGTGGAGGTGGAACAACACGGATCATTTTACACAGGCAAGTGTGTCCTCTGCTCAGTGGGAATATACAGTGCACAGGATGAACTCGTCATGAACTCATCCAGATGAAAAGGAGCCCTTGAATTGGAGAGGGGTCAAACTTACAAAAAACTATCAAATAAAGCAGTGTTAAACAAGATGTTTTAATATATTATAATAGCTGTCTTTTGTGATTGTTGAAAGGTGTAATAAACCTTGACACAACCATTTAGAGCACGCCTCTGGTCTGTGTTGAATCAGTGGTGTTGGGGTGTCTAATTTCAACAGTTTTAGATGCTTTAAAAGCAGTTTGTCAATCAGTAATGCTAATCCTATTTCCTGTTAGTATAGAGACATAGCAAAATTCAGGGTAAGCTAAATGGGAAAAGTCTTACTTCTGCAAAACCAGACCTTTAAAAGTTTTCTGGTCAATTAAAAAAAAATGGTATACATACACAGGTACGCATGCGCGGCACAAATCTGAATTGCGTAACGTCACGACGCGCCTTTGCGTACCTCAAAACAAAAACACATATTTTGTCTAAACGTGTTTCTTGTCAACACTCAATGGAGTAAACTACAAGACATATACAAAAAAAACAAAGACATTAAGCTCCCTGCTAAAATGATTCTGACTTTCTATGACTGATTGTACTGTAACTGGGTGCTGGCCGAGCCGGACATAACCGACGGACCTGTGAAGCTTTACAGGAGGCAGAGGCTTAGATTGCTGGACGACAGACTTGTTCACCGTGTGCACAGACAGAGTTAACGTCGGTATGAACAACAGAGACGGGAGACTCCCCCGTGCACATTCTGTGCCCCGCGCAAACATTGGAGAACTGTGCAAAATCAGCTGATCACAACGCTCACGCTCTGTGGTCAAGCTGCTGCAGTTTCGTTTACAACAAACTTACTTAGGGTGTTAATGGAAGAGTTTGAAATCAGACAGAGGTGGAAGAAATACTCAGATCTTGTGTAGGAATACTCTGTTACAGTCATTGTGCAGATTGGTCCATTTCAGAATAATATGATATGTTTTATAATGATTGATCATGAAAGTGTTCTCAAAGCTGGTGAAGGTGCAGCTAGTTTGAATGACTTTGTATACTGCAGGGTAGCTTGTGGATTTACTCCAGGTGGAACTAAAGTCTGATTTAACACTGGATTATATTTCACATCATTAATTCACATCTGTAAAGTAACTAAAGGTATTACATACATGTAGTGGAGTAAAAGTACACCATCTACCTCTGGACTGTAGTGGAGTAGAAGTACACCATCTACCTCTGGACTGTAGTGGAGTAGAAGAACAAAGTAGCATCAAAGTCAAGTAAAGTACAAATATCTCAAAATTGTACTTAAGTACAGTACTTGAATAAGTGTACTAACTTCC